CCCCAAAACCCCAAAACCCCAAAACCCCGAGGCTACAAAATCAAGATAAAGTTAAAGATAGCGATTATTAATTTAATATTTATTCTATGGAAACTAATTAATATGCTCCCTTAGAGATATAAATAATGAAAAAAGACTAACATCCTCGCAATTAAAATTCCACTGCTCACGGCTACCCTTACAAGGGCATTGCCACAGACTATGAAATGCATGTCAATCCTAGTGGCCCTGGCACCAAGATCACTCCACTAACCTTTAGAAATGACCGACTCCGCAGTATATTCCTGAATCATTAGCACTCCACAAGTATAAGTAGCAATAACCATAACAACAATAATAACAGCGGAAGTGTTGGAGCCGTAGGTAACCATCATAATAATAGCGGCACTCAAACAAGTTTAAAGAATCAGCAAGTGAACTAGTAAAACCAGACATCTGGGTAGCTGTTCACTGGCCAGGATTCAAAGGTCATTAAGATACCTATCCTACACTCATCTAAGAACTTCAGACAGCTCTATAACCTCAGTTTTAAGAGCCAGACATCAAAGACAGATGACTTTCCTACATAGCAGGCCCAGTCTAGTATTCATAGACAAAGCATTTAATCCTCGCAAGAAAAAATCAGAAATACATCAATATCACCCAAGGGAAAGCTGCTTCATTAAAATCACTCGCCTGTTCATCAACCTCCAAGAACAGCTCAGAGACACACTAGAAGAAGGACTGAGCAGTTTATTCCAAATACCACATAGATACAGCTGTTTTAAGAAATCTCGTAAGATCACAATGTAATAATGCATAATAACAACGGAAGTACCAGATAGGCTACTTTGAAATAAGTATTTATAGGAGGAAACGTAGCATTCAATTCAAAAAACAGTGGAGGCAAAGTAAGTTTATCAAACGCAGCAAGCAACTATATATCCTAGCAGCATAATAGTAGCATCAATGGCAATTTAAACGTTCCAGCAATAGGCATCCCCTCAGAGTCAAGAACTTCCCACTAGTTAATACAGTCAACCTTTACTCATTCCAAAGTCAAAACCCCAACTATTAAATTTCATTAAAACAATCAGCTTCATAATAATCAATAGCAAAATCAGCTAAGACATAGCTCGATGACAAGGCCTTAAACATCCAATCGAGAATCACAAAAAAAGAGGCTAAAGGTACCTTACCTGATGCGTAAGTTGCCTAATCAAAGTCATACGAGCAGTAATAATGGCAACATTCCGAGCATCGCAATGAATAAAATCATGGATTTTGTCAACAACCAATCTAATGGTAGCAACACTACAATTGTTAATACTGTGAATACTAACATAAGCTTGCCTGTTGGAGCTACCCATGCTAATCCAAGTTTAAGTGATAATCGAAGCTAAAAACGTGCCACTACTGCTGCAACATAATAATCCTCAAGACCTAATGAGCCTGAATAATGGAGCAACCATAAACGACTAAGCACTTAGGAGATTGAATTGATTAAAAAAAGGAATAAAAGCTTTCTTGAAGGATTAAATTTTGACTATCAAACTGGAAGCAACAGCATAATGATTGGCAGCACTAATTAAACAAATCTTAAGAGGCCGTCAATAGATAATGTAAGATATGACTTTACTCGTGCAAGTTTGAAACCTTAGCTGATAGACGACAGAGCTTTAGAGAGCAAGTTAATTAGATTGCAGTAGTAATCATCATTATATGGGGTCAATAACAATGAATGGAAGTCGATGTCAGGTATCTAAAATTAGCAAAATCTGCTGTTGATTAAGAACACCTAGGTAGAAAATAAGATGATGCGCAAAAAGAGGGATTTTCAAATTTCCAAGAAAGTTAATACTGGAAGGTAAAGCTCAGAACGTCTTCATAGTCCAAGTACTGGCTAATAGCATCTTAGATCAAGCTCTATAAATTCGTAATATGGAAGCAACAGCAATTAACAGAGTATTAATAAAAAATAGAGAGTAAAGCTTGTGTTTTTGGATGAGGAGCAGGCTAATACTCTAAATGCCAACTATAATAACTAGCTCGATACTGATGAGGGATTAAGAAGCAGCAGCATACTTAAGAATAGAAAAGAGGTAAATGACTATTTGGAATATGAGTCTAGGCTTGGCAGATCGAATTAGAAGCAGCTAAAGCTGACCCTGAACTATAAGAAGTTTCAGGACAAGGAGTACCCACAGATCTTGAAGCTGCTTAAGGATGATACTTCTTTAGTTTTATAGGATAGCTAATAAGATGAAAGAAAAGTTATCTAGTTTGATCTTAACATTCAGGGCAATGACTATAACACTCAAGAAGGTACTAATCAGATGATTCCTCACCTTCAAAACCAGCAAAGCTATTATACAAATAGCTATCAAGAGATCAGCTTGCTCGGTGTGGAATCACACAACCATATCTCCTCCAAGCATATGCACGATTCTTCTGAAGTGGTGCTTGAAAATCCAGAGATCATCCGTGGTTCCTTCTAGTTTGAAAATCATTAGATTAGAGCCATCAAGAATGGGTCGACTCTTACTAACTAGTCTTATTTTCCTAATTTCATTGAGGAAAACGCTATCCATATTTATAGAAACAGTAAGGAGATACAAACCTCATAGCCAAAGTAATGAAATCGATAAAGATTTACAAGTTTATAAGATTTAATAATATAACAAGAGATATCTGCTTGAGTAAATTTAATTTAATTTATAAAAGGCCTTAATTAATAAATTCATACAATTCTATTCCATATCTTGGTTTTTGTAAATTGCCCAAAGTACTTCTATACTTAAATCTAATGTGATTGTAAGATTAAGGGAATAAATTGAATACCTATCTATACAAATTAGAAATCATTAGAGAGTTCATTTCTTGACTTTGCCCATCATGTTTTTCATTTTGAGTAGCTCCTCCATATAGGTCTTTTCAAAGTAAACCTTTCTGAAGTTGCTTCTGTCGACATTGAGCTCTTCGCTATTGCTTGTAGAGAGGGAAGCTCTTTCATTGGCAACATAGGAGTTGTTTACCTGATTTGTGGACTTGAATGTGGACTTGCCATCCCATAATCCGTACATTGGAAACACAGTCATCTAAGTTTGTCTGCCCCTTTGAGGGTTCTACCGACTAAGGTTAGATCCTCTGAGTTACGAGGATTGATACTGACTTGACATGGGGGGTTTACTCTAATTCCCAATGAGTTATTGCTGTTACTGACTGTTTGCATTACTGCTACTGCCCTTGTTTATTTCCTTACTCAGATAATCTTGGATTTCTTAGTCGTCATAATCATTTGTCAAATTTGCAAGTCTCTAGTTGATTCTATGAGCATTCTTAATATCTGTGTTACCTTCCACAGACAGAATATTATAGTCACTGTTGTTGTGAAGTTAGCCATTTTTGTTGAGAACTTTAGTTTATGCTGGAATCGTGGGATTTCGAGAATTTTTAATCAGACTAGCTGCAAATTAAAGGTTAATCATCAAATGACATCATCGATAGATGGTTACTTTGAGGTTTGGGAATTCTCTGCATTAATGAACTGAGAAGTGGTTAGTCTTCGAGAAAATAATGAAAAATTAGAATAAATTATAAATTTTAATTATAATTCTCAAAATTATTAAAAACTAGCCTGAAATCGAGCATATATTAAAATGAGTGTGGCACCATCAAAACTTCCTGAAGTTAAATCTGTCTATGAAAAGAATAAGCGAAGTAACAATATTTATCAGATTATAAAACTCCTGGACAAGAACATCAAGTACTCATCTACTCTGGAGAAGTTCAGAGAGAAGCCTGATGAGTTCCTCTTTCATCCAATTCACTGTGAAGATCTGTGCTTTCTTTCTTAGAAAGAGTTAAAGGACTTGAAGAAGCACTTAAATGACTAAGGAGGTCAGTTGCAATCTATGGCCAACAAGTTCGTGACCCTGACTGGAGCAAGCCAGTCCCTGACCTCTTTTCAGTTGGAGAAAAAACGGAATGAAAAAGTGCAGAAGCAAAGAGAAATACAGCAAAAACGCATGGAAATTATTCAAAACTGCCCTTCGCTGGCTGAGTTCTACGATATGTACTTAACTAAAAACGCTAAAAAATCTACTGGCGAGATTGAATTCGAGTCTTTTGTCAACAGATACCCCAAGAGGTTCAAGGGGTACGACTAGTTTCTATTCCTGCCCGAGAAGAAGGTAATACACAAGAACTCGAGGTTCGTCAGGTTTGACGACGTAGATATGGGGGACGAGGTAGAGGCTGCCATTTATAACGATGGGGGTAAATCAGCTCCGCAGAAATTGAAGAAATATGTCAACGAGCAAATGGACAGAATCATGGGCGACAAGCTTAATCAGCATAACTTCTAGCTTAAGACTGAAGATCTGCTGTAGCCTACGATTGACATATCGGAAAAGAAGCCTGGTAAAAATAGGAATAACACTAACAATACTCATTCTGACTCAAGAATAGATGTAAGTTTGCTGATTGAAAGAAGCAAGATATTAGTAGGCGATGCTGATAAGAACCTAAACTTCAACAAGCTAATTAAAAACATCAACAACTACCACAAGTATCACTCGAAGTCCTTACTTAAGAAACCAATGAGTCCATAGTCTAATCAATAAGTCAATGATTATTAGACGCACTAGCAGTCACAGGAGTAAAGCAACAAGAGACTAACTCTAAACAAAAAGTCCTTGGCTAAATCAATATCCATGACTGAAATGAACGTTATGGAGAAGTATAGACAGGCTCTTCAGACACCTTTGAGTCAGGCATAGACAGAGGAAACTGCTCCATCCACTGATGGGGGAATACTTATGCCTGCTGTCAGTAAAATATCTTTAATTCTAGACCCGAAATCTCATGAAAACTTCCTCAATATGATTGTAAAGAACCAAGTGAGACTGCAAACTTAGCAAGGCCCAAGAATAGAAACTCCTCAGTCCTCAAACAGCAAAAGCACTGTGAGGCGTTAAATGAATAGATAATAGTGGAACAGGCCCTCTAGTATGCAGTTCAGAATCTAAAGCAATTCTTCACTGCTCAAGCCATTCTAGAATCATCGAGCGAGTCTTAGTGGAAGTAAATTTAGCATAGTGGTTCCATCACCTATAGTCATTTGATTAATTTCATTAATTTACATCACCTTCTATTTTCGCTATTATTATCAAGTGGGGTTTTGGGGTTTTGGGG